AGCACCCTAAGTGAATCTTCCTGCAACTCCACTCTGCCTGCCTCCTAGCTGGCTGCTGAAACCAGTTATTTTTCCTGAAGCATAAAAGGGACCAACTCCGATGTGGCTCCCTGAACCCACAGAGGAGCCTCCTCCCAGGAAGAGGACCCAGGACAGAGTGGTTTGCCTGGTTCCTCAATCCACCCTCACCTCTTGGTAGCAATCTTGCTGCTTTTTCCTCCAGTTCCCATTTTGTTTTGTTTTGGAGGGAGGGGTGAACCAGTCCCAGTCGTGTATTCAGGGTTTACTCCTGACCCTGTGCTCAGGAATCACTCCCGGAGGAATTCAGGGGACCATGTATTGTCCTGGGGATTGGATTAAACTCTGATTGGACGCAAGTATGGCAAGGGTCCTGCCTGCTACTCTGCCCCCCTGCTCTGTTCTGATAAACCTCCTCGGTGAGGCTCTGGTAATGTTCACACACTGAGCACTCTTCTCATTCACTCAGAGGCTCCCGTTCTGCTTTGCGAAAATTCCTGCCGAAAAGCTCCCCTAGCTGGGGACAATCGGCTGGAAATATCGCATTTCCCCCAAAATATGGCCAAAAATAACAGAAAATTTGAGTGTTCTTCGAACAAGAGACTTTGCTTATTCAAGCCTCCGTGCCCGGCGTCTCACAAGCCCGGAACACAGTGGGCTCTCGATGGAGAGTTTGCTGGACTGAATTAAGTAATCCTTTCTGTTCAGATCTCTTTAGAGTTCAGATCTATGTGGAAATCTTAAGCTTTTAATAAAACAATTCTCCCTTTTACGAAAATTAAAATTAAAGTCCACCCATTTTGGGGTGACCGAGCTCATAAACAAGCACTTTGAGAACCACTGGTGTTTGCAGAAGCAGAAGGCTGGGTGACCTTTGGAACGACTCTAGCAGATGTTTAAGAGTGTGCTTTCATAGCGAGGATGACTCATTTGTGACTGTGACAAAACAATGAGAATTATTTTCTTTTTATTGGGGGGTGTGTGTGCCACAGACAGACGCAGAATCTTATACCTAAAGAGCGTGTGCCCTCTACCACTGAACTACACACCCAGCCTCCACCACCCTCTTCTTCAGTCTGTTGTTTTCTAAGAAATAAGGTAGAACAGGTGATAGGGCGGAGAATATTTCTGTGGGGGAGGAGCTAGGGAGGACCCTAGGATTCTGCATAGAAAGCACTCCAGCCCTTGAGGCCCCACCCACCCCTGCTGTGAGCCTTCAATGGCCACATAAGATGCCTGGCAAGAGTGGGTGGGGCATTTGGAGGGACAGTACAGCAGATAGGGTGTTCACCTTGCATGTGGTTGACCTGGGTTTAATCCTTGGCATCCCATATGGTCCCCTGAGCACCCCCAGAAGTAATTCCTGAGTGGAGAGGCAGGAGGAAGCCCTGAACATTACTGGGGGGTGTGGCTCAAAAAACTAAAAATAAAAAGAGTGGGTGGGGCAGCTGAGAAGCAGGCATTTCTCTCCTTTACCTCTGCCTGCAGCAGTGGGGTTTGTTGGCAAATACTAACCTGAGAGCCAGAAGACCCAGAATGCTAAGGCTTTAAGGGTGCTTCTGCTCAAGCCATTTCCACTCTTTTATTAAGAACCATGAAGGTTTCAAATAAGGATTGAATCCGAAACTTCAAGTCTGGGTGCTCTAAAACAAGACTGTAAAGTCTGCAAACAAAGCAGGCTGAGGCATCCTCCCACCCCGGGAAGTGGAGACAGCCATGGAGGCCAGAAGGCTGCTCAGGGAAGACGGTCCTTCTGGCAGGAGCCTGGGCTAGGAGCAAGTACATGTTGCCTCCAGCTTTTCGGGAGGGCAGGGAAAGGCACACTTGGCCTCAGTCTTTACTGGAGGGCCACAAGCCTCTGTTCACCCTGCAGGAAAGAAGTCCTTTGATTTCTGAGCACAGGAAGAAAGGGGAGGGTCCCGGGCTGAGGCAGTGCCTGCAAAGGGAGGGCGGAGATGGTTGGTGACCAACTGCCTCCCCAGGAACCTGCACATCTTCTCAGGCACGGTGGTGCCTCTTGTCAGCTCCACCACCATCCCCCCCAAAAGCTGTCCTTGCTGGTTCCTGGGATGTTGCAACTCTCTGTAGCAAGTTTATCTCCTTAGGTAGTGTGGGAGGTAGAGAAGACTCCTATCAGCTCGACCCCACTGTGAACTCTGTGAAGCTGCTCCTTCCCACCTCCCACAAACAAACTGGTCGCCTGTTTGTGAGAACCCAACTGGAGAGGGTTGACGGGGCAGGCAAACCCACTGTGCCCTGTCAGCCTCGCCACCCTGGGCCCTGGGTGCTTCCTGGCACTGGCTGGCAAGGAAAGTTTGGGATGAAAGGCCGGCAGGAGGTGAAGGCCATGACATGGCCTCAGGCAGGTGACTGCAATCTTGTTGTCCTTGAACTGTCCTGAAACACTTAGGACGGTGACTCAGAGGTTCTGCAGCACCTCCGACCACCACCCACCTGAGTTCCTTACGACCACACCCCACCCTCACAGCATGAGCCACAACGAAGACTCTAAGTTTAAAGTTCCCCTTACATAGAAATGTGGGTGATGGGTGAAGAGCTGGCAGCAAGACTGCACCCCTCTCCCAGGAAGCATGAGGGTCCGGAGGTTTTCTGAAGCACATAGTGAAGAGAAGCCCTCCAACTCCGACCCTCCTCCCCCATCTCCACGATAAGTGGCCTCCGAGAGAGTGGTGGCTCTGAGTTCAGGAAGGTGGGCATCCAGGCCCTGATCTCACCCTTCAGCAGGCCTGGTGGCTTTCAGCAAGTGAAACACCAGGGGCCCTGGGTGCCAAAATGTTCAGCCTTCGCAATTTTCACAGTGTACTGACTGCACATAGGAGAGAATCTAAGTGAGAGAACAGCCCAGAGGCTCTGCTCGCCCCTAGCTGCGGTCTTTCCCTTTCCGAGCCTGGCAGATGGGTGGCTCATTCCTGAGTCTTCCCCTCCTCACTCTTTGTGGGTTCTTTCTGCGAACACTTATCCAATGGGGACTTACATTTCACTGCCCAGTTTACACAGCCAGCTCTGTGAAGTGTAAGCTGGCTGTCAAGTGCTCACTGCCATGAGCGCCAGACTTAGGACACTCCATTGGTGTCGGCTGATAGGGGAAAGACAAAGGATTCCATTCCGTCCAAGAATAATGCAGGAGAAGGAAGGAGGGAAAGGAACGAGAAGATGGTCCTTAAAGCCCAAACTGTACCAGTTGTTAGGCCGCTGCCTCCTCCATGCCTATCCTAAAGGAGAGTAAGCCAAGGCGGAAGGGGGCTAGAAGGAGCAGGGAACTCTATCTCTTTTGGAGGAGGGGTTCTGAGCCCCAGCCCTCCCCCGCTCCCCACCCCTGGAAGTGCTGGGGGGGATCATGTGCCATGTGGTGCCAGGAGTCAAACCCAGGTTTTCCTCATGTAGAACATGCACACTGTGTCTCTGCGCCATCTCCATGGTCCAAATTTTTTTTTTCAAGAAAAGAAAAAAATAAAGCCAATGTTTGTTTGTGTGAGTGTGTACAAAGGACTGATGACATGGCTCCACTGATGAAGATTCCTGAAGTCACCACATGAGAAAAGAATGTTCTGTGCATCTCCCAGAGAGCCCTTCTGAAGGGGAGAGCATTATCCTTCACTTACGGGGAGAGACTCCGGTGGAGGGCCATGGACCCTCCTGTCCACAGGCACCATATGACAGTGCAGAAATAGAGCGGTTCATAACATTGGAAATACACATGTGATACCTGTCAGCTTCTTTGTACATCATTAATTCATTAGCTCAGAGAAACTAGAAACAGAGTCAGGATTTGAGCAAACAACGGGGTAGTTATATCCACATAGAGAGAACTGCACCTTTGGTTAAAAAGCAGGATCTATAAAGTTATCTTAGTCTTCCAACTGCTCAGCCAGTGCAGCTAAAAGCCAGCCACCATCAGCCACACGTGCGAGCGAGCCAGCATGCTGCCCACTGCAGAGGGCGCCCAGATGCTCCTGCCTGCCCCTACGCGATTCCACAGCCAGCCTGGTCTGCATCAAAATAAAAAAGTTAGAGCACTGTGGGAAGCATCCCCGGGCTCACCACTTGAGCTGTGGAATCGCACTTTTGTCCTTGGAAAGAAAAACACAAATTTACTCATGTATGGGGGGCAGTGAAATCATTTTTTTAAAAAGCAATGGAAAAGGAAACAGTAAGGACTACAGATTCATTTTTATTATAAAGTAAATTCCTCAGTGAACTAGTGTCTTCGCATTTCTAAAATAAGGCGTGGGGGTGTCCATGTGTTTTACTGCAAATTTTGAAAGGGGCAAAGAGTAGAAGGCACTTACATTTAAAAATCTGTCCATGCCTCCATATTTGCTAGAAATATATTGTAAGAGACTGGAACATGAAGTGCAGGGAAAAGAAATGAAACTTAAGGATATATGGAATTGCAAACATTTGCAAGACTTTCCCCATTTCTAATATTTGTCCTTTTTTTAAGGTCCATTACCTAATAGTTCTCATAAGTATTCTTAAAACTACATGAAAAAACACAGCTTAAAATAATTTCTAAATATTCTTCAAAAAGTAATTTCTTGATGACTAACACGGGAGTGATTATTTTTTGGTATTTTTACACCAATTTTGCATGCTTGGACTTTTTTTTTTTAAATCATGTTTTTTTGTGCCGAAAAGTTATCAAGACCAGCTCTCTGCTGCTGCGTTTGCATTGTTATTAGGAACACACATACACACCACATACACACACACACACACACACCACACACACACCACACACACACACACACACACACACACACACATACACACACACACTCTGAGCTTAATGTGAGGCTAGTACAGAAACAGAGAGATTAGACACAAAGAAATGTAAACAGCTCTCACATGCAAGGAAACTAGGTTACGAGAATCCCAGCACCAGGCTTTCACCAGTCACCATGGAAAACAGGAAGTCAGATGCATAGCAACCACAAGCCAAAAAGCAGGAAAGCGCATACCTTTAGCTTGGAATGAAAATCACGAGATTTCCTTCTGGCAAGAACCTGAATGTGACTAGACACCTGCAGGGTAGGGGAAGGGAGGAAAACAAAGGAAAAGCCTGTAACCATGGAGATGAAAAGCCCCCTACAACTGGGCAAGCCAGACGTACCTTAATGGCGGCTTGAATTTCTCGAACTTTCTTTCTTGCTAAGACCTGTATATGACTAGACACCTACATTGTTCGGGTTTATGAAGGGAAACAAAACAAAACAAAACAAAACAAAAAAAGGAAATCAAATATAAAATTGCTACTCCTTGGGAGGGTTTGGGGGGCAGGGGGGTGGGGGTGGGGGGAGGTTATTTGCATCTCAACAAAGCTCTGCAGTTAGGAATACACAGTCCCAGCCAGACCAAGCCCCCAGCGCTGCTCTAAGCTTTCAGACTGGGTCACCAGTGCAGTGACTGGATTCTGGAGGAAAGTTCAGGCTACTCTCACATCTGTCAACGGAAGAAACCAGGGGCACGGGATGAGAAAGGGGAACGTGGGTGGTTTACTTTATAAAATTTAAAAGGTGGGGGGAGATAAACAAAAAAATTCATCTCTTCTCGGTCTCAGGAGGGAAAATCTCCCGCTCCCCCCACCCCCAATTTAGAAGAGACGCCATAAATTAGCACATTCTGCAGCATCAAAAAGCTGAAGCTGTTGGTTGTATTCTGATCTCATTAAGAGCTCTGGATTCTGTAGCAAATGTTAAAATAATACTGACATGTAAATTAGATCTCAAAGAGAAATGGAAAGACCCAGTTAGCAGAGCGGGATTTCTCCCCCTCTTATAAATATCATTAATCCTTCCACTCTTTTGGGTATTGACTGGGTGCCAAGTAGATTTGCATATTATTACAAAGCAAAAAGTGTGAATACAGCCAGCCAGCCATCCTGTTAAAAATCTGGGTTGAAAACCATGCGGGTTTGCTGAACAGCACATTCACATTGGAGAGGTATCAGCAAAGGCTGCCTGAAACAGCCCCGGGATGCCTGGGTGTGGAAAGCACGCCAAAACCCGCTTCTAAAACAAATGATTCTACTGGGCAAACAAATTTGCATCTCTTTCAGTGGGGCTTGGTTAAATTTAGAAGCATCCCCCAGTGAAGGGGTCGGGCACATGACCAGAACTCATAGGCAACCCCCCACACACAGCCGGGTTGACTTTCTGTGCACTGGGAATCAGATCTCTCTTCTTTCCGAAATTTAGAAACCTCCATTCAGAAGTTCAGCGACACTGCCTGCAAGGCAAGGACTTCACTTCCAGCACTCTAGCCGCTCTATGAGCAGAATCCAAGAGAGCTTACATTCTCTCCTTTTTGCTCTTGCATTCATTTCCATTCCTTTTTCAATTGGTTGTTTTGCAATTTTTTTTTCTTAAAAGTACAGAGTAGCAGGAACTCCCCCCAATCCTCTTCCTCTTCACCCCCCATCAGGCTCCCGTGTTTACTGATTGTCACCAGAGAGTTTGCTCTCAGATGACTGACTTGATGCCCGTCATTGTTGGGATCAGGGTGGAGGCGAAATCCACCCCACAGACCATGTCAGATTCTGAGCGCGGGAAGGAGTGGGGGGGACAGGAAAGGGGAGACCCCGCTGCCCTCGCTGCTGACTCAGCTGCCAGGCTCCTGAAGAGGGAGGCCTTTGGAACAGGGCTGGGGGAACGCTCCCCATCGTAAACACTCAGAACACAACTCATCACTGAGCACAGAATGGGAATCTGTTGCTCAAGCTTAACAAGACAGCAGTTGGGCTTGCCTTTGGGGATGACTACAGTTTTTAAATCTATACCAGATTGATCAGCATAGGCCAATCTTAAGAAAAGCAATGTCTATATAGTTATGTATATACATATACATATATATATTTTTTCTGTTAACAAATCATCTGTGAGCTTTATTTGGTCTTTTTACCCTTTCTTTTTCTGTTTTTGAAAAACAGTCATTTCTCATCCACTCCAGTTTTAAACTGGGCCAGAGACATGGGCTGCTTTATATCAGAAAGAACAAGGAGAGCAGAGTCCTGACAGGGTGGGGGGGAGCAAACCACAGAGCCTGGTCTTTCAGCAACTTCACTTCAGTCAGCAGCTACTGACAAAAGGCCGTAGTTGGGGGAGCGAGGGCTCCCTGGGTACACATCACTTGGTATCAAATTCAGGCCAATAATCACGGCTGCTAGTGTTACTTGTTCATCGAAATGATGACTAAACACGTACATCAGCCCAGGGTTTTACAATGCGCAAAATCTCAAAATGTCAGGACTCACATATGTCTTTTGCACCTGCAGTGGTTGTAACGTTTGCAGATGCATGGTTCCGGAAAGCCGTGTTTTCAAATGCAATGGATACAGGAACAGTTCAGTAGACTGTCCTCAGGGGTAAACTTCCCCATGTGTTGAGGTTAGAACCCAACACCACATGGTACAGGGTCACTTGAACTATTGAACAGCGAGGTGGAGCCAGTGTTGAGACACCTGCACGCTGACATCCTTACAGGGAAGGCAAACGGGGGGCTCCTTGGAGCCAAAGCACAGACAGCCACTGCAGCCAACGCCTCGTGGGCCATTCGCTGACATGCATGACCTTCCAGAGAGGTGGTTTTACCTGTTTTCTGGTCCTCGTCTTCCCTGTCCTGAGTTTGATGTATCTGGCTATCAATTCATTCCTACCTGAAAGAAAGATGAATGTACAATAAGCTGGGTGGCTTTAACATGATGACAACAACAATTTTGTAAACTACAATTAAATTAGAATTCAAGAAAAGTGTTTTTTTTTTTCTTATGTAAGAGTACTGCTATTTATTTAGCCACTGATTAGGCTGATTGAATTTTGCATGAACTCCACAAGAAAAGTGTTTTTTTAAGTTACAGTTGTGTGTACTAATGTTAGAAAAAATAATTACTTACAAGAATACTGTCAAGGGGACATTAGGATCAAGGGCTTTTGATTTTGAACTTTGATCAGCAATGGGTGGTCATTTGTATAAGAAAAAAATACATGGAAGGATCAGTGGGAGTGTATACAAACTCCTGGTTCTATTCTAGTCTCATTTTTCGAGTTCATTCCTCCTCACCCAGGATTTTACCCGTGGTAACGCTAGCTAGATTCACAGACACAAGTTAATGAACTGCTGTGGCCATCAAAACCACACAATGATAAGCAGCTAACAGGATGAAGACCATATATATATACAAGTTTCAGTCAGGGTGGGCAGCAAAGAAAGAAAATGGTTAAAAGCATTAAGTCTCAAATAGATAACCTGGCTTAAAATAATTATGACAGGAAAATCTACCCCTGAAGCTAAGAGAGAAAACACATTACTAAACATGCCATGAAAAAGACACAAATAGTGATACAAGACAGTGGTCTGAAGCTGCCTACGGTCATAGCTAGAATGCTTACTGTATCATTAGCATATGCTGCTTTATCCCCCTGACATACTGCACATCTGAAGAGGGCAAGAGCTTCTGTTCCCCAAAGTCTCACCAGCACCAAATGGGCACCAGAAGAAAACAACACTCCCTCCTGGATGTTGCCCAACTATGCCCCCCCTACTCCCTACCACTGGGCTGAGTTATGAGAGGAAAGCATGAATTGAGAACCAGGGAGGGATGGGGTGTCTTTATGGAAATCTTGTCTCCAGAGTTCTAAAGAGTACTACTTCCTGTGGCTGCCTACAAAATTCTGGCCCCCATGAGCCTGTGTTAAGAATATGTGGATACCCTCACCACCATCCGCCAGCTAAGAAACTATGGAATCTTGGGGGATGGAAAGCATGGATGATTTACTCCCACCCCTAGACTCTATATCCTATTAAGCCTAAAGGAGCACATTTGAAACAGAAACTTTTGTTGTGTTTTGTTACTTTTAATGATGAGGTTTGAACCCAGGGCCTTAGCCCTGTAAGACAAATGCTCTACTGCACAGAACTACATTCCTGGTCCTCATTCTATCTTCAAACATGTTTAGAAATTAAAATATAAATATAGATCCTCTGTGATGGGTGCTTCCTGTATCTTTTGTCTCTGGAGTTTTTCTCTTTGCTCTCAACCAGAACAAGGCTCATCACTTTCGCCCAGACCCGCCTGTCAGATAATTGACAGCTCTCAGTCCTCCTGCAGCTGTGCCCAAGCCCAACCTCTCTTGTTCCTTTGTTTTCGGTGACAAACTCTGGAACAGTCCCACATCCATCCCGGGGTCCTCCTTTGTCTACTTTCCTTTCAGAGCCTACAGTCCAGAACTGCAGTAATGCTCCTGCTCGGACAGCCCAGTGCAGACTGCTTCCTATCCTCTTCCTCAACCTGAAAGCTCTACCTCTGCTAATGCAACCGAACACTGCATTTCATTGGAGGCATTAAACTATCAACTTCTATCAGCCTGAACTTTAGGTCGTTTTCATTTCGGTGCATATCCTCGCCTTTACCCACAGCTTTTCATCTATAGCTTGGATTTCTAGATCTCAATTTAGAGCTTCACAAGTATTTCGACTGCATTCTCTCCTATTAAAAGAAGCCGATGACTCCAGTCTGTAAGGATCTTCTCACATCTCAATTCTGTGACTGAACTCATGCACCGATCACAGAAAAGGGGCCTCAAAATCCCGTTTTTTTATTTTTTTGAGGACTGCTTCTCCAAGCATTCTCTTTCAAACTTTTGAGAACTACCAATATCCCCTGTAGTGTCATCGGGTCTACTTATCCGTCTATCAGATGGTTGTACAGATTTTGCAATTTGTTTCAAAGCCTGCTGACAGCAGAGCCCAGCTAGGAGTGCCTAATTACCAGAAGCTGGTCCTAAATGGCAGTGTCTGCCAAGGAGCCAAGCATCCTCCAGCATGGAGTCTCACTGTGCACCCCGTGCAGGGCTGTCTGAGTGGCCACAATGGGGGCGTAGGGGATGGTGAGGGGGGCTGGGGTTAGAAACCTAGGCCTCTGTATTATGCAATTTTATCTGGACCTTCCAGATGGCAAAATGTGTCCTGACCATTCTTGTTTATTTTCTGTGATAGAATAGCTTGAGGTGTGTGACTTTGAACTGATGCAACTAATTTTTAATTTTTGTTGGCATTTAACTGAATAAATGAGATCAATATCCAGGACAACCACATGTGATGGTACCCTGGAATCTATGCAAATGGCACTCCTTGGAATTTTATAATTTTGACCACTCATACTTTGACCAAAGTATTCTAAAATTTACTTCTAGAAGAGGCCCTCAGTGATTATTTACTATTTCTTGAAAATTACACTATATTCATGATTTCACAGAAAGCTCACCGTGTCCCTGTTTTATAACATAAAGAAGTAAAAAATCTGTGGTCTTCTTTTATACCATGTTTGAAGTCACAAAGATTCTTGAAGTTTTTACAATTTCTACTAAATTTGCTATCAGGCATATGACTGACTCCAATTTTATATTCACATTCAACAATAAGTAACTATCACACCCTAAACATACTGTTAATCAACTCATGTCATTTTTAAAAAATGACCTAATAAAGGCTTTGTGAACATGATGATTTATTTAGATTTATCTGTTTTTAAAATGTGCCTTGCATTAATTCTTTTTTAAAAATTAAACGCTGGCTCATCTTTAAGTTAGAACTTACCAATAGCCCAGAATCTGGGATTTGGACCATGATCCTACGGTGAACCAGTCTTTAACCAAGCATGAGAAATCCAGTGTCATAATTACTCCTAGAACCACAACAAGGATCTGCCTCTAGTTCATAGGGCAGTCTTGTTTTAGAGATATGATCAGAATGGTTGGGGTTCACCCTCATCATTTCTCGAAGGTTCTCTCAAGCCCATAAACAAACAAATGTACATACATACATACATACATGCATACACACACACACGTGTTTGATATAAATCTTACATATAAAATGACTCTCCACAAAATTAACTTTGTAGTCAGTCAGGACATTGCTAAACAGACCCTAAAACAATTCTTTGTTAATCCTAAATGAACCATGCAATTAATTATGTGGAAACCATCTTTATTGTGCCTTACTTGCTGCAGGGTGCATCCAAGATACAGAGAGAAATCAGCTAGCCTGTCTGTCCACTGTACCACACATGGACTAAGAAAAGAGCAAATCAGCTGTAGGTCAATGACAATGATTGCCATAAAAGAGAATCCCATAACCTGCCTGGGAAATAAATAATAGGCCTCGAAGAGTTCAGGAAGTCTAGAGAGTCCCCCCAGAGAAGCGAAATATAAATGAAATTTCCCCTGTGTTTCACTGTAAAAAGTTCTCTCCCACAGAAAGGTTCTTCAGAGAATTAACCAGACAGTCGACGCTGTGTCCTACCCACCCAGACTCGACAATTCCCCTTCTCTGGGCTTCCACATGCCTTCCCATGGAGCCACCCACTGGAATATCTGACTTTGTGATTCCTGTTGCATTTCGAAGGGGCAGACGTGACCATGCTCCTCCTGAAAGTCTTCCATGTGCCTCTCATTCACTAGAGAAAGAGAAGGCCAAAGAGAAGAGGCTGGGTTGAAGATCATTCCACACAGAGAAAGCAGCATTGCTTAAAATTCATATGCAAGGGGCTGGCTGGTGAGAGGGCACAGCTTGCTTGCATAAGGCTGACCCCGGTTCAATCCTCAGACCCTCATATGGTCCCCTGAGCCTGCCAGCAGGAGTGATCACTGAGCACAGAGACAGGATTAAACCCTGAGCACAGCTGGATGTGGCCCAAAGACCAAAACCAAAAGGGAGAAAGGGAAAAAAAATGCAAGCAAGAAACTGGGACTCAAAAATAAATGAATAAAGCTTCGTGCGTGCTGGCCTTCCTGCCCCTTTGACTGTTGCACACTCTTTTTGGGTCCAGTTGTGTCTGGGTGCCCCACTCAGCACCAGAGCACGCAGGACTCGCCTCCTTCCTGCTTCTTTTTAGACAATTGCAATAGCTTACAGAGCTGGGTGGCCCCGGTGGCACACCTTCTCACCCTGTGCCAGTATACCACAGCTGCTCTGTGCCAGGAAGCTGTCTTTAGAAACGCCCACCACCCACATCGGGCTCTGATTCTGCAGCTGAGCTTGCTCGGCTTTCCCCAGAAGCAGAGGCCATAGTATTTGACAGAAACAGCCAGACCGCCTCCTCACCAGGCAGTGCAATCCAGGTTTCATTTTACTTCTCTTCTCCATCCTGAATAGCCTGACAGAGATGAGAGGGAGCCCCTCAAAGACTTCTCCTTTATCCCAGATTGCGGTGAAATTTCCGACTGAAATAGAGATTCTGGCAGAAAAAAACAACACAGAGCTTGCACTGCACTTGCCTTACCCAGAGAGAAGACTGGTTAATGCTATTGTGGGCTGTGTATGTAATGGGATGCGGCCCCAAGGTCATGTTTGAGGCAGAGCAAATGCAGGGTCTGTGGCTAGAAATTGTAGTCCAGTGACACTAGGCTTCAACAATGTAAGAGCCACTTGGTGACTGAATGGATTCAGGGAGCCACAAAGACAGAAATAACAAAGAAAACTCCTTCCCTGTCTGAAGCCAGGTTTGAGGTTCTAAAGCCATACCATGGAAGGATGAATTGCTCTGGGGCTCTAGCTAATACACCCCTAGGAAACCTTTGTTGACCTTCCCTTTGCTGGAGTCTCCCCATCCTCTCCCCATTACACAAGAATGAGAACCAGAAAGAAAACTCAAAG